AATCATTGGAGGTCAGCTCAGCCCGGCGACAAGAATGCCCCGGCATATCCAGTGCGGTGTGATACTGTGATCATTCGATCGGAGTTGGGGAACATGCGGACACTACACAAAGCTTCGTGCATACACTAGTGCTTCGTGTCCCTTCGTTCTTTTGGCTTACATAGGCAGCGTTCTAGTGCGTTGCTACGGAATAACTAATAATTTATATTAAAAACATATGGATCGCACGATAAGATAATAATACTGTGAAATTAAATATCCACATTAAAATGATATCAATCCAAAAAGCAAAGTTCATAAAATTAACACGGTCACGAAGAGCACGGCGTCGCGGGCTCACCGACTCTACTATATAGACATTTCCAAATTTTTGTTGACTCAGATAATTAACAAATAAGCAATGCCCGCCACATTTTTGTTGATTATTCACTGTGTTTTTTAAAAAAAACATGTGATGGAGAGACATTGTTGGTTTTTAACTTTTTTTTACATCATCACTAATCCAATTGAAGAGAGAGGACCATAATTTTTTTTAAGAAAACAATGTCAATGAATTGTCACATTCTTAGAAAACTGAACTGGTTGTCATCTTCCTATTTTTGTCAGTAAAATTATCTGAGCTTTATATGTATAACCTGAAAACTGAACTGCTTGTCATCTTTCTATTTTTACCGGTAAAATTATCTGAGCTTCATATTTATAACCTGGACTCAACATGGCCATGCCAAGACATAAAAAGTTACCTTAGTTACAATATCATTATATTAAGCTCAATAACATGGCAGCTGATTGTGCTCTGCATAAGCATCAGTGTATCAATGCCAACCATTAACTCATCCTCTAGAGTTTACAAATGTAAGCCATGGCAATAAATTATAACAATTCAGGGTAAGTTCAGTGAGAAATCCTTTTTTTCAAGGTTTAACTTCAGTGAGAAATCATTATTTTTTTTTCTTGTCTGCCTACATCAGATTGTTCAAAAATAAACAAAGATCAATCCACAGACATTTTACAGTGCAGAGATAACTTTGTGACCTGTCTTGGTGTTGCTGTTATGGGAACACCAATTCAGCGAGCGAGGTCTAGAGGTGCAAAGGCCTGATGCCAAACATCTGAATACCATCTAGTGTAATAAAAAAAATTAGCAAGCCAAAAATTCAGTAGCCATAAAAAAAGTTGACAAGAGAAAAGTATTTAATATATTTTACCAGTAAAGTATCTAATATTGGTACACCAAGCTCATGAATTGAGACTATCAGTAAATAAATAAGGCTCGAGCTACTTGAAACGAGATTGGTACAGACAAAGGGCTAACTATGCTAAAAAAACAATGGCATCCAAATGTGCAGGCACACAATATCGAAAAAATAGATGATTAACTATATAATAAGAACGTCTGCAGCATCATGAACTATGGTTGTGTAACATCATGAACGGCGAGCGATGGAGGACGGGCGACGTCAATCGGTCTATATATGCGAAGACGACGGCTCGGGTGCATGGCGCAGGCGAACGGCGAGGACTACGACGCGGACGTCGTGGAGGTGGCGGTGTTTCCAGGTGCACGATGCGGGCGAACGGCGAGGGCGACAGCGCGACGTCATGGAGGCGGCAGTGTGGCGCACGGGAGGATGACGGCGTGGGCGCACAGACCAGACGATGGAGCAGGTCGTGGAAGGGAGATCGCACAGGGAAGGGAGATCGCACGGGGAGGTGATCTTGCGGCGACCTTGCGGCGATCGATGATGTAGCCACAGGTGCATCCACCGGTAGGCAGACGGTGGATGATCCATTGCTGTTGCTTCTCCACTACACGACGAGGAAGAAGTAGGGGCGGCTCGATCGTGCAGGGGCTTGAGGAATGGGGCGCGCGATGATCGTCTCCGTGCAACGACCAGTGACGCGCTTGAGTCCTACCAAGAAGACGCGTTCGATCGTGCAGCGACGAGCGACGATGGTCTTCCGTGTTTGTAGCGCATGCAAATCAGGGTCAAGAATTTCATATTTGTGGCACGAGGGCGGTATGATCGAGCGTGAGACATGGATGATCGCTTTCCTTGTTTGAGGCAATTAGGGTCAAGACTTTCCGTGTTTGTAGCGTATGCAAATCAGGGTCAAGACTTCCCGTATTTGTAGCGCATGCAAATCAGAGTCAAGACTTTCCGTGTTTGTCGCAAGAGGGCGGTGCATGCTGGAGATGTCATGGGATCGTAGGCGTAGGCAGACGAACGAACCAAAACAAATATCGCACTAAAAAAAAATATCCACACTTTTTTTTTAGCGGTAGGAGATTAATTGGTGTCTCGGTGATCTGGTAATTGCGTAGTCATGCATTTCGCCGCCATGTGGTAAGTACTTTGCTCTCTATCTATCCATAAATAATTTATTCTCGCACTAGTACCATTTTTTTTGTTAAAAAATGGCGAATGTCAGGTACTAGTTGGAGCCCCAATTTGGTATGAATTTCTTAGAACGCACTGCGGATAGAAATTGGATTTGAATTTCTTAGAGCGCATTGCGCCAGCTCAATTGGTACAAGAACAAAAAGAAGGCGGCAGAATCAGCATTCTAGCGTGTTCTTCGATCGAGTTTGATCCTTGGTGTAATCTCTTCAACATCGTTCGTTCTTCTCAAACAACTGAAAATAATCATTACTCAGACGCATCCGAACCATCATTTATTTGTTTCCAATCAGCTAGCACTGAAATGCACGCACGTACACGCCAAAGATTTGTCAGTTGTTGGACAGAATAATGTGAGCATAATAGCAAATGTGCTCGCGTCAACTTTAAGGGAGGGAAGTGTCGTCGCAGGCTCAATTATCAGGAAATCGTTAGTACAAAATAACACAACCGATGACCTATATCCATGCAACCTACGTTAATTAGGTGCATTTGCCACACTAGCAAACAGCATAAGGCATGATGCTGTTTGAATTATAGTAACATTGTCGCTTAACAACAAGTATGGGTCAAATCCAACCTAGCGTAACCCAAAGGCAAAATGCGTCGTACACAGTGTTTGACGTACGTAGAATCAAGGTCCAACAGAACACCCAATCCGATGACCCATTTTGCATTCCATCCGAGGCGAAACGCAAATAAGCGTCTTCGACAGAGACGACGCAAATGTCTGACGCCCGAAGTGGTGGGCCCGTGGCGAGGCGCAGCCGGCGGGGCAAGGCAGGGAGCGGGGCCAGGCGGGACCGCGGCGGGGAGCCGCCGACGCGGAGAGGAGAGGCCGCGGCGAGGAGCAGCCGGCGTAGCGAGGCAGGTCCACGGAGAAGCGCGGCCGGCGCGACCGCGCCGAGGAGCCGCCGACGCTCCGAGCAGGCAGCCGCGTGGGTCAGATCCGGCTCCCAGTGCTCTGGTCGCTGTCGAGGCCGCGCGTGCCGTCGCACGGGCCGCTGCCGCAGCAGGAGCGGAGGGAGCTGCCACTCAGGCCGCCGTGTGCCCTGGACGGACGAGCTCGGCCCCGGCGTGGACCATTGATGCGGGGGCGATGGTGGGATGCGACGGGACATAGCAGTAGTGGCGCTGGGTTGGTCCGGCAGCGAACCACTTCCTCCCCCTCCGCTTCTGCTGGTGGAGGCGCCGTCGCGTGGGGATAGGGCGGAGCACCGCTGGGGTCCATAGCGCAGGTGGGAGGAGGCGACCTTGGCGGCGGCGGCAGCAGCATGGACGGATCTGGAGCTGCCGCCTGGGGGAGAGAAGAGAGGGAGGGATCGAGCGGAGAGAGAGAGGAGAGCGAGCTGGGGAGGATTTTTGCGTAGGCTGTTGGAGAAGACAGGTTTTGGGTGTGGGAGTCTTTCACTGTGCGTGACATAAATTACGGATTGGGTCTCTGGTTTGGGTCTGCGCTGTTGGAGATAGTCTTAGTATATGGACAGATGAGCGCAAGCATTATTTTTCCCACACTGGTTCTTTCTTCACTTGAAGAAGTCGAACTGTGTCACGAATATTTTAGAAAAAACAAAAGGTGAAAAGTATAGTTTGTAAATTGTATCTACGTCTACTATAAAAGAAGAAATGTTTTTTTAAAAGCAATGGCAGGAGTGATAGGGATTAAAAAAGATGTTTATGTACGAGCAGGGGTAACAAGCCCCCAAAGGCAAGATCGTGAGACAAAGTAAGTGAAACAACCGCCTTCTCAGCTTGTAGATCACCAGCTTGGGGGCGCCAGTAGTAGCAGGAGTTGACGTCAATTAAACATTCGTTCAAAAACTCATACATTGCTGAGGTTAGCAGACTCCTACATCTACTCAGCTGGAGCCTGGAGCCATTGCGTAGCAAAGACTTTTGGTTTGATCAAAAATTCAAAACGCGCGCGCACGGACATGGATGGCCGGATGAGTCCATTGGTGTGGAAGTGGACCTGGACGGAAGACGCTGGGTGCAATGCAGCGCGGGCCCATATTCCTTTGGCCCGTGATTTGCGCCGTGAGGCTCTGCCGAATCAGCTGGGCAACGCGTGTCCTGCCGGCGCCAACCAGCAAGTGCCGCTCAGCTAGCGGCGGCGACCACAGTGGAGGCGCCACCGCGCGCGCGCGTGATGAGAGGACCACGATTCCACGAACCCATCTCCCAACCGGCCAAGTCCACTGCTGCGTAGCGTAGCTTTGCATGAGGCTGATCATGCATGCTAGCTATGAGTGGGAAATCATGACAAGCACCCACCCACTGGAATTATTGGAGCTCAGCTCAGGCTCAGCCGAGCGACAAGAATGCTCCGACATATCCGGGTGCGGTGTGTGATCATTGGATCGGAGTTGGGGAACATGTAATCTTGCATGCGGACTACGAGTGCACAAAGCGACACAGTGGAGGAGTTGGCCAGTTGGCCGGGTTCGTGCATGGTCGTCTCCAACTGCGTGTGCCTCCTTGCAAATAACAAAAATAACACACCCCGCTCCTAGCCTTTGCATTGCATATATGCATGTACACAAGACAAGATCCTCACCACGTTAAATCTTTAATTACGGCCTAAATCAACCCGGCCAACTATCTGCGCGACTCCCATGACGCCGGCGACGGCATCGTCGACGCCGTCCTGGCCGTCGCAGTGCCCGACGAAGCAGTGGTCGCCGACGACAGGCGCGGCGTGCCGACCTGTTTGATGGCCACGTTCGGAAGCGGGCTGCGCCTCCGCCGCTCCTGCTCCTTGACCAGCTCCGCGGCCATCGCGTCCACCTTCTCGGCGTTGGTCCGCTCCGACAGCCTCCGCCCCTGGAACAGCACCGACTCCACGTTCCGCTGCGCAAGCATCGCTCCCGCTGCCGCGGATGCGGTGGCCGCGTGGAGCGGCGCCGGCGCCTTGCCGGCCTGGATGCGCACGTAGTTGCTTCCGCAAGCGAGTCCGAACGCCATGGCCACTGACTCGTCCACCATGTCCGCGACGCCCTCGGCGGTTACGCGCGCCAGCTCCCGCGGCGACGGAGAACGCGTGGGCATGGGCGTGCTCGACCCGTCGCACACGGATACGGTGGCCGAGGAGGCACCGGCGCCGATGGAGAGCACGAGGAGGTCTTCGACGCCGGTGGCGAGGGGGAACTCCTGCTTGTTGTGGAGCACGTGGGTGATGCGGCCGCGGCCGGGTTACCCATGGCCGCCACTCCCCCGGACGCCCCGGCGATGGCCGTGGCACCGTCGACCGACCTCACGCTCGCGAGCGCGCCGCCCGCGGCGCAGGTGGCGGCACACACGTCGCGGAGGCGGAAGTCGAAGCTATCGCTCTCGACGGCGTCGGCGCGCGAGAACACGAACGGCGCGGCCGTGCCGAGGTCGTAGCACGGCACGAGGAGCGGCGCCACGGTGTCCCTGAGCGTGGCGTCCCCGAACACGCGGCGGAGCATGCGGTCGCCGCCGCCGCGAGAGCCTTGGAAGAGCTTCGCCCACCCACCGCGCCGGCTCCGGCCGCACCAGTCCTTCCTCCCGACGATGCCGGCGACGAACGCGAGCGCCTCCTGGGCCGAGTACCGCGGTTGGCCGTCGGCGCCCCTGAGGAGCAGCATCGCGGCGAGGACGCCGCCTGCGCCGGCGCCCGCGGCCACGTCGAAGAAGTCCGCGACGCGCGCGTCGGGGTCCCCCGTGCAGTCTCGCAGCTTGGCCTCGAGCCTCGCGAGCGCCGCGGCGGCCAGGAGCGCGTCCTCGGCGCCCGCGCCGCAGCCGTCGATGGCGAGCACCCGCACGCGGCCGCCGCCGTCGAGGAGCGCCCGCGCTGGCCTCCCGGGGCCGGACGGGCACCACCCGCCGATGAGGAACTCGCTCTCGAGCAGGGAGAAGAGCTGGTGGCTGAGCTTGTCCACGCACGTGGGTGGCGACGCCGTTGCCGCGTAGGTCTCCATCGATGGTCCAGGAGCAGGCGGCACGAGGAGAGAGCTTGTGTAGCGTAGCTAGTGATTGGTTGGAGCTTGTGAGTGGTGAATGCGAGTGAGTGAGAGAGACTGCGATGCTCAATGCCGATGAGTCCCCAGTCTGCTCCAACGCGACTCTTTTATAGGGGCTACTGGCTGGAGCAGGTTAGCAGCGGGCGCCGCAAACGTGGCTGCGGCGGTGCGGCCGTACAGCTAGCGTACGGACGTATCATGGCCGTCGGAGCTGTGATCGACGAAAACCGGAAGCATCCGCCACTTTGCCGGTGATGAACTGAATGATGGGTGGCCGTGCGCACGCACCTGCCAGGAAGTTTCCTGTCTGAACTCCGAAGTGGCCCGGTGCCTAGATGGGGACACCGGTCATCGACGGAGGCCCCGTTTGCGTACTCTTAGACCTCCGTCAAAAAATGAGTGGTATATTTGACTAGACAAAAAGGCAAATTTTACTAAGTTTGACTAACATTTAGTTAAAATAAGTATAGCATCCCATAACCCCAAATTCATCGACATATATACATACAAAAATGCCCGTTGCCTCCACCACCACCCACGCCCGCGCCGACAACGTGCCACCTTGCTGCCCCGTCCACCATCCACCCTGGCCCTCCGCTAACCTGTCGGCTTCGTCATCTAGTCGCCGGCCCAAGAGTCTAAACAAAAGGCCAGAAGGGCGGTCTAGTCACCGACCGGAAGGTCTGGCCGAGGAGGAACAGCGCCCGCTTGTCGACTTCGGCCCACCTCTCCGACCCGAGCGCTCACTTCGATCTCCAGCCGCCTCCGGACAGAATCTCCGACCGAAAAGCCTGGCAAAGCACTACTTCCGACTCTGACCCCGCGTCTTCGACCAGGGTACGCAGAAGCCCTGCTCACCGCTCTTCTCCGACTGGTGCAACCAGAGCCGACTGGGACCAACCGACCTGGGACGCCCGCCCGGAAAGGACCAGGAAACGAACGGAGAAAGCAAGGCAAGACGCTCAAAGTCAAAACCATGATACCAGGGACCATACCCTATACACCTGCAGGAATAGTAATCTGCAACCACCCTGACACAAACAATTTTGTAGGCACTGACATTTTCCTCAGTATTGTGGGCGTCGATTAAACTCCCATCCGGTAAGGCCTCCCACATGCCTCTAGGCATCAACAGTGTTGTGGGCGTCGGGATTTACCGTACCGAGCGAACATGGTAAAACTCCTCATATGCCTCTGGGCATCAACATTATTTGCAGGTACCGACATCTGCCATACCCGAACAAAGACGACGTAACATCCCACATGCATCTGACATCCAACAGTGTTGTGGGCGCTTACCATCATCCTGTACCCATCGGCGTGGGCAGCAAGACTTAGAAGCATACGTATTCTCTCCCTCTCACTTGTAAGGCCATCCCCTTCATTTATAAAAGGGGATGCGCTCTCTCCCAAGAGACTCAGTTGATTCAAGTTCATACAAGTTAAGCCAGATCGATCAAGTTCACTAGCTCACAACCACAGAAACGCCAGGTTCGGACCTCAAGCACATGCTTGAACACTTAGCTCATAGGGGAGCTCCTGTCGCTCTCGACTCTTCCGACCGGAGCCGACCGGACCTCTCGTGCACCCCATCTTTCTCCTTCTCATTTGTAACCCCACTGCAAACTTCGAGCACCTGGCTTAGGAATAAAGTCACCGACCGACTCAAACTGGACGTAGGGCACGTTGCCTGAACTAGTATAAACCCTGTGTCATTGAGTGCTAGGCCACCACCGATCACAACATATGGCAAAACTACAAATATTTACTTGTTGGTCACTTTCTGCACCGACAGTTGGCGCCGTCCGTGGGGAAGACGTTGTACGTTCAACACTTTTTTTGTCATCGGATGGCCCACTTTTCCACCACCCTCGCCGTGGCGGGCTCTGGCGATTTGATTCGCTTCGGCTCACTGGAGTTTCCCGCGCTCCCACCTGTTGGGATGTGGGTTCCACCCGTCTTCGAGCCATCCCAGGCCTTCCTCCTCGGAAGCCTGGACTTCGTCGCCGACCGGCTCGGCGTACTACACCTCCGCGAGGAGGCACTCGTTCCGGCACTCGTCAGAGGGGCGCCCTCCATCGACTCCGGGATGCACGACTTTGAGGACGTGGCATCCGCGCTTCATTCCGAGCAAACTCTCTGCTCAAACCTCGTTGTCCCCAACACGACCGCCATACGACTGGTTCCCCTACGGCCTCGTGTCTCCCACGGACGCGTACGCCCAGGGGCTCCGAAGGATGCCGACATCGCCCCCTCTCACATCCAAATTAATGGGGATGACGAGCTATGCCCCCACCTGTTTCCTCGACCTCATGGATGACGATGTTGAGAGTGACGGCTCCAGCATCGGCGACGTGGCGCCTAGCCACCGTCCGTCTCGGGAGTGCGCTATGGCGGACGCTCCGGGACAGCCACCAGCGGTAACGCAGTCCTTGTGGACTCACGCCCCTCCGGATCCTCATGTGGAGACCCCCAAGCTCGCATGTGAGCACAGCGAGGAATCACGACAACAGTGGCTACACCAGCCACCGACTGCGCCAGCACGCTCGGCGCACCACACTGCGCCCCGTGCGCATAGACCGGTGAGCGGCGCCCGGGGTCACGTTCGTCGGGTCCAGCACAACACCATGGACAGGGGGAACGATCCCCCATAGTTCACTTGGGCCAATCAGAACATCACCGCCGCGGCAATGCTGCTGCGCAGCCTGTCCGAGCCGAACGACCCTCATGAATAGGCGATCCACCGGAACCTCCGGGCACTAGTGGAGACCGCCATCGTTCAACAAGTGGAGAGCTCCGTATTGTGACGCTGACTCACGGCCTCGCTCCCCACCAGGGGAATGGGGACGCAGCAGATGGGTCGCTCCACCCGATCACAGCTACAACCGCCGAGCGCGGCACATGAGGCCGCATTGGCACCTCGTCTTCACTTGACGATCGCTCTGCACCGACCACCTGTATATGCACGGCTCGGACTGAACTGAGACACACGCAGCAGCGACCGGAGTCCCAGCCCTGACAGCCCGGGACCACGGACCTTTGTCCAACACCTCCAGCAAGCGCCGCTCCCACCGCGCTCCAACGGAGGCCGGGCCAAAGGTAAGGCCAAGCGCTAGGATCAGGACGAGGGCCCCTCCATGTAGAGGGGAAAAGGAACAGAAAGGATCGCCGCCTACCGACCAACTCCGCGTTGGTCGCCACGGCTGATCACGTGGGCCCGCAGCCCCAGTAGGACCCTCCGGGCCACTTCCACGAGCTCATGGAGATTTCGTGCACCAATCACGACTACCTTGTCAAACACCTCTATAAGGACTGCCAGCTCCTCAAGTGCCTTCTGCGGCAGGCCGGCAGGCCAAAGGAAGAAAAAGGCGAAGAAGCAGCGACCGAGAAAGGGGGCGTAGCGGGCAAGGATCCCAACGACTAAAGGTTGAAGTGATCCAACCGGATGCCTACCGACTGAAGGACAACAACGACGACATTCTCTCCGAATGCTTGGAACAGCTATATCATTTTTCTTCCCCTAAGTTTCAGTCTTACCATTGTTTACTTAGCGTATGCTCCTATAAAAGCACCCCGACCCGAACACTTTTTGGCCCGGGGCGCACGGGGGCTCCACTAGGAGACACTACCACCTCTCTATTTTGTTTACTATCATATGGTGAAATTCCTTCCTACCCGATCAAAAGGGGAGTTCGTTCCTTTAATTTGCCTTACGTAGCTTTGCTTTAAAACATTCCGACCGATCACACCCCGCCTTTTCCTACAGTTACGAGCAGCTAAGCCTCACGGGCCACGCCCTGGGCTCCCAAGGTTGCAGCCTATGGGACAAACGGGCAGGTACGAGAAAGAAAGAATAAAAAATAAAATTATGCTAAGGGAAAACTAAAGAACAAAAGGGAACAACCTTCCCCGAATGGAGTGACTCCATCACATAAAACGAAACCAACTGTAGTCATTAAGCACATAAGAACGTTTACACGGGGTTCCCCCACAAACTTAAACTTTTTACGTTCACTAAACTACTTATATTTTACAAGCTATTGGGCCGGCTCGGCGGCATCTGCTGTTGGTGCGACCGGTGAAGGCGCGGGCTGCTCACTCCCCGGTGGCACGACATTCGGCTTGGTCGAAGCCAAGGCAGTGTCCACCTCCAACCTAGGCTCCGTGCCATCCGCAGGCTGGGCAATGTCCTCCCCACGCATGCTTCTGTCCATGTCTTCACAGCAGACGTCCATCACCCACTGAGCAGAGACTTGCTCTGCCACCGACCTTGCGTGCGACAGCAAGCTCTCCCCGATCGATTGGATGTCCTCCGTGCTCAAGCCATCAGCATACCCACTACAGATAGTAGCGAAGTCTAGGTTCGGATGATGCGTCACCACCGAAGTCTACACCCCCGACGCTCCGTAGAACAGCCCACTCATGATAAGGTCCCAGACCACATCCGGGACCTCCGCCAGCTGAACGGCGGGCGCGCTAGTACTTGGCGCCAACCCGAAGACCTCCGAGACGACGAGCTGGGCAACGTTGCGGATCTAGTCAAGTTCCCCCTCGAGAGCACGTCGCTCTTCACGGGACTTGGCCAGCTCCTCTGCATTTCGGCTAAAAGTCGCCTTGATCGTCTCCAGGTCCCGCTCCAGCGTCTTCACCCCCTTCTGCCCAGCTCTGAAAGAAGGGCGACAAGCTTAGAAACAGGCTGAAGGAAAAAACCAACACGATGAAAAATAGAAAAGGTACGTACCGACGTAGAAGTTCTCAAGGGTGGAGAATTCCTCTGCCTGCCGGGCCACCTGCTCATGCAGTCGGGCGATCGCCTCCTCCGTCCCCATCACCCGGCTCCGAAGCGCGAGCACTTCCACTGTTGCCAGCATATAGGGCAACCGTTCTCAGATTTTTGGCACATCGTTCTCTCACTTTAACTAGTCGATACTATCGGACTATGCTCGAGTCAATGTACC